CCACCCCTGACTTCGGACCTCAGACCGCTGCAGCGCGAGCCTCCCCAGGGCTCGGCTCCTCGGGGCTGTCCATCCCTCGGCGGCGAGAAAGGACGCGCGCCCGGCGTCGGGCGGAGGAAAGAAGAAAAACTTGTCGGAGGGGTTTCGCCGGTCTTTGGTAACCCCCTTTCCGCAAACCCAAAGCTCCCGCGGCGGCCAGCCCGAGACTGGGGAAAGTTCCTTCCGACCCGACAGCCCTCTTGGATTCGGAGGCGGCACCCGCGCCGGCTGTGGAATTAGGTCTGTTTTGAGCCCGGCGGAGCGCATCGCGGGGCGCCGAGGCACCCGGGCGGCGCTGCCCGCGCGGAAGCGAGAGTTTGCGAGCCCCGGCTGCGAGCGGGCTCTCCTCCCCGCCGCTGTGGTTTTGCGTCCGGGGTGAGGGCTGCGAGTGTTGTGGCAACTTGCGAAGAGAGACGCGGAGGTCCAGCGAGGACTGCGCGCGCCCCCGGTCCTCCCTTCCTCTTCCTGGCTGCGGGGTTGAAATCCCGGCGAGATCCACCAGGGCCTCCCCGTGCCGCGGAGACCTGTCCGCCGCGCGAAGCGCCGCCGTCCCCATCCCCACCGTGAGCCGGGCGCCTGGAAGGACTGGCGAGTCGGAGGCGGGAGGTCGCGGCGGCGGCATGGCGAGGTTCCCGAGGGCCGACCTGGCCGCCGCAGGAGTTGTATTACTTTGCCACTTTCTACTGGACCGGTTTCAGTTCGCCGGAGGGGAGCCTGGACACCAAATCAGCGGTAAGATGCGCTTTCCCTTGTTGATTGTGTGGGCAGCTGGGGACCTCTCTGGCCACCCCCATTCTTACCCCCCCATCTGTCTGCCCTTGGGAAAGTTACTGCAGTTGCTTTTCGGGTAAACTTGGGCTTCCCAAGTGGGGTGGACACGGTTGGCTAGCGAAGGATGGAGGGGACTGTGGGCTTTCTTGAGGATTCGGGCTTGCCTCACCTGAGCGCCAGGGGGTGGTACTGACTCCCCCAAGTCGCTCCTAGAGGGCTCTGGTGTAGGAGCGAACCTTCTGTGGCCACCTCGCCCAAGATGTGGCATCCCCGGGCTGTCTCATCTCGGGCTCCTCCTCCTCGCCTGCTGCTGGGAGAGGCTGAGCGCGCGCGAGGGGGACAGTGGGTGGAGGACTCGATGGCAGCCGGGACTGCAGGGCTCCTGGGAGCTGGAGAAAATCACCCGTGGCTGCACCTTTCTCCTCGAGGCGGTCCCCACCTCGGGCCGAGCTGGTGCTGGAAGCGGGGCGGAGTAGGTGTGGCGGGGCGCCGAGGGGCCTCGGAGGTGGCAGAGGTGGGACGGGCGCGCCTGGAGGCCACCCCCTGGCCCCATT